CTTCAAGTTCAGTTTTAATTGCATTCTGGGCAGGAAGACTGTCTCAAAGCTGTTACTTTAAATGGCAGCCACCTTGATTTGGAAAGGGTTGTGGAATTCCGATTTCAACTTTTCAACTTCTCTTCACTATCACAGAGCTTCAAGGTTGCCAAGGTCTTCATGCAGTTACGCACACAGATTTTTTTCTTGTCATACCAGTTCAAATGGAACTTTTGTCTAGTCCATTATGTGCAATATTTTCACATCACTATGCAGAAAACCTTTGGCTTTATATTTTGGCTTTTAGCATAATTAACACTGATTCTTTTTTTTTCCTGTAAATGTTTTAATTCTATGAACAATATTAATGCTCTGAAGTCTGGTTTTGGTGGTTTTCAATCTCAAATAAGTTTTTAGTAATATTCTGTATTGCTTGGGATCTACTTGAGAAAAGAGTTGCTTTATAACACCAACATTTTGAACATGTCAACTAATGGTTAGTTTTTTCTTCAATGCATGTCATTTCTATCACGCTAACCGGTAAACCATATGCTCAACCCTATTCCATACACCAACAGACTGTGCAGTAATCCTACCATCTTTTTATTGCAGACTGTCCTCCATCCACCAAATGCTCAAAGATGAATACTGTGATTGACAAAGTCCTTCAAAGCCGCACCATTCTGAAACTTTATCAAAGGCACTGTGATTTTGTATCCGTATCAGCTATTTACATCGAAATTACCCACCATTATCTTACATGCTTTCAAGGACTTTGAAAATCTTTGCCATCAGGCCTAATCCCTCATTAAAGATTAACGTGTTTGGATTTGCAGTTCCGTTATTATAAACTCCATTCGTTCCCTGTGTGCGTCTTTTTTCCATGCGCTATAAAACACTCATCAGGCCTTTAAAGTTGATTACATGATTACAAGTGCTGAGCTGGCTACTGCGCGATGTGAAGGTGCCCAAAGAACTTTCTCTCCACTAGTGCTTTTGGCGTTAGCTATAGATGGTATTATAGTTTAGGGTTAGTAATATAGGGGAACATGTATGGACAAATATATACAAGGGATAATGAAACAATCACGATCAGTTTAAATTAAATTAAATTCTGGTTTCATAATTACTCCATTATGGTGCTATGTACAGTGCCTTGCAAAAGTATCCGGCCCCCTTGAAGCTTTCAACATTTCGCCACATTTCAGGCTTCAAACATAAAAATTAAATTTTTTGTCAAGAATCAACAACAAGTGGGACACAATCGTGAAGTGGAACGAAATTTATTGGATAATTTAAACTTTTTTAACAAATAAAAAACTGAAAAGTAATATTATTCGGCCCCCTTGCGCTAATACTTTGTAGCGCCACCTTTTGCTGCAATTACAGCTGCAAGTCGCTTGGGGTACGTCTATCAGTTTTGCACATCGAGAGACTGGAATTCTTGCCCATTCTTCCTTGCAAAACAGCTCGCGCTCAGTGAGGTTGGATGGAGAGCGTTTGTGAACAGCAGTCTTCAGCTCTTTCCACAGATTCTCGATTGGATTCAGGTCTGGACTTTGACTTGGCCATTCTAACACCTGGATACGTCTATTTGTGAACCATTCCATTGTAGATTTGGCTTTATGTTTTGGATCATTGTCCTGTTGGAAGATAAATCTCCGTCCCAGTCTCAGGTCTTTTGCAGACTCCAACAGGTTTTCTTCCAGAATGGTCCTGTATTCGGCTCCATCCATCTTCCCATCAATTTTAGCCATCTTCCCTGTCCCTGCTGAAGAAAAGCAGACCCAAACCATGATGCTGCCACCACCATGTTTGACAGTGGGGATGGTGTGTTCAGGGTGATGAGCTGTGTTGCTTTTACGCCAAACATATCGTTTTGCATTGTGGCCAAAAAGTTTGATTTTGGTTTCATCTGACCAGAGCACCTTCTTCCACATGTTTGGTGTGTCTCCCAGGTGGCTTGTGGCAAACTTAAAACAAGACTTTTTATGGATATCTTTGAGAAATGGCTTTCTTCTTGCCACTCTTCCATAAAGGCCAGATTTGTGCAGTGCACGACTGATTGTTGTCCTATGGACAGACTCTCCCACCTCAGCTGTAGTTATCTGCAGTTCATCCAGAGTGATCATGGGCCTCTTGACCGCATCTCTGATCAGTTTTCTTCTTGTTTGAGATGAAAGTTTGGAGGGACGGCCGGGTCTTGGTAGATTTGCAGTGGTCTGATACTCCTTCCATTTCAATATAATTGCTTGCACAGTGCTCCTTGAGATGTTTAAAGCTTGGGAAATCTTTTTGTATCCAAATCCGGCTTTAAACTTCTCCACAACAGTATCTCGGACCTGCCTGGTGTGTTCCTTTGTCTTCATGGTTCTCTCTGCGCTTTAAACAGAACCCTGAGACTATCAAAGAGCAGGTGCATTTATACGGAGACTTTATTACACACAGGTGCATTCTATTTATCATCATCAGTCATTTAGGACAACATTGGATCATTCAAAGATCCTCACTGAACTTCTGGACTGAGTTTGCTGCTCTGAAAGTAAAGGGGCCGAATAATATTGCACGCCCCACTTTTCAGTTTTTATTTGTTAAAAAAGTTTAAATTATCCAATGAATTTCGTTCCACTTCACGATTGTGTCCCACTTGTTGTTGATTTATGACAAAAAAATAAAATGTTATATCTTTATGTTTGAAGACTAAAATGTGGCAAAATGTTGAAAGGTTCAAGGGGGCCGAATACTTTTGCAAGGCACTGTAAATGAAGGCACACATATGGGGGTCTTAAATTCCGACTTATTTGTGTGTTCTTTTCACTCTGCACCACTGTGATACATTGGGCTGTATGGGAGTATCGGCACCCCACTATACCCTACTCCATGTATGTTTCTTTGAGGGAACAATGAGCTGAAAAATATACAACATTACAAATCTCAATATTCATACCTGACGGCTAGATACTGATAAAATATAGCAATGAGTTCAATGAAAACCAAGCATTTTTCAGAAAAAACTCCCGCCCTCCACCGTTTGTCATTGGTTGATTTGAGCTGTCTTTTTACCGCAAGCTGGGCGCAATGGTACGTTCAAGGGAAATCTTAAAAGGGGCTTTTAGTTTACATGCAGAGCGTAGCGTGGGGCAAATTCTTTATTGTTTGTTTGATTGCTTTTCGATATTCATAATGTTCACATCTCAATAACAACAAACAATTTAAATAATTTCCAAGCATTGAAAACAAGACCCAGGGAATTCATATTTTAAAACACAACCTGGTTGACTTGGATTCTGTAGCTGTCAAAACAAATATCGTCCACATTTATCATTCTACTTTCACTACCACTATTTGATCTCTCAGTACAGAAAAAAAAAGTGAGTAGTAATTTCCCCTTTCAAAAAGACTACCTTAAAATTGATTATCTTCACAAAAGGTCAGATGACAAACCAAAATCAATTTATAAAGTGGTGAGCCGGAAACGTTTTCTCAAGGCGCTTTCCAATTAGAGTGCAACTTGGGCCTTTTCTATGGTTTTGGTGACAGAGGAAAGAAAAATTATGATGAAGAATGGGGAGCCGAAACTCAGCAATATGGGGAGGTTTGGCAAATGGATTTAATCAAGACCAAATATGGATCCACTGCAGGTCGTTTCCTTTTTCATTGCCTCTAAGAAACTTGAGAAAGACAGTTTAAGAGGCTAAAAATTACTATAATTCCTTTCATCAGATCTACCCAAGTGATTTTGGAGTTGCCACAAACAGGTTTGAATGGCTCCTAAAGGTTACCAGCCATGACAATAAATGGCTAAAGAAAATATATTCATCATTCAATTTTCTTCCACGCACTTCCACACTTCCTCTAGTTCATAGAATTGCATTTACAGGTGTCATATTTCGCTTTTCTTAATTTTTCCCAGTCCATCCAATCAACATGTGTGATAATAATTTGCGTGATACACCATACAACACCCAAAACATGTCAAATTATAGCCATTTTGTGTATAGAGCTGATGACACCTTGTGTGAAACACTTGGATCAGTGCTCCTCTGCCAGTGAGCCCACCTCCCCTTGCCCGCCCAGTGATGGAGCATCTCGCTAAGTTTGAGGTAAACAAAAGCTAACTGTACAGCTTTCGCTGTTAGTCATTTCACAGCTGAGAATAGACGTTTTCCAACAATGGCTCTCCGTCACTTAGAGCCCTATGTCCCTGATCCAGAATCAGACCCTAATTATGTAGTTCACAGTGACATACAGCGAATTAATTGCAATAGACTCACAGAGGCTCCCGTTAGCGTCTATTATGTTGGAAATAACACCATGTTTCCAGCTCAGCTTTTGAGTAGGTCCCATTTCAAGGTAACTGTAGTTCTGTAGTGGTGTCACGTCACTCGCAGAGCTGCGAGTTTTGTCACAGATTTCAGACTTGCACGGATACGAGGCAGATCCCCGTGAACAAAGTTGATCCCCATTCTCCGTTTTCAGCCAAATATTCTCGTCACATATTTTCACCAACAACACATTTTCTCCAAGTTGACATCAAGCAAACACAAAAAAGCACAGAGGCTTATAAGATAAGATAAGATAAGATTTGCTTTATTTATCTCACATAGGAGAAATTTACATGTCACATTTGGCATGGATAGAGACACTCAGATTGTGCAAAGGGAGGAAATGTGCAAACATGTTACATGCAGGATATATGTACAATAAAGTGACAATAATTATGTACAACAAAAGTGACAAGTGTCAATTGGAAACAGTGTCAATAGTAGTGCAGGTTTTCACACAGTGATCATTTAAAGTGACTTATTGTACAGTCTGACAGCGGTGGGGATAAAGGCCCTGCGGTAGCGCTCCTTCCTACACTGAGGGTGCCTCAGTCTTCCACTGAATTCACAGTCTAGGGACCAGACGCTGGACTCTGAGAGAAGCTGCGTGGGCTGCATAGACAGCGCTGATTCGCTGGTTCAGTTTCTCCTCGCTGTCAATCACCAAATTGACTGGACCCGTGCCAGTTTGAGCGACTACACCGAGTCCTGTAAGTGGACCTCCCTGGAGCTTTCTCCCTTGGCTATAGAGGAGGCGGGGCGTTCCACCGAGGCTCTGACCCGAACATCACCCGTCTTTTCCACACACCCCTGTCCTATCCACTTTCCCAGCCGAGCGTGATTGTGCTTGAGTATGCCTCATCCATCTTTTGCCATCTTTTGCTAAGTTGCGGTTAACCTCGGAGTGGGTTTTGTTTTTGTGTGCCAATAGTTTTGGCATTTTTTTGGAAGTCAGAGTGATCTTGTGTAGGATATAACTTGCTCCATTTGCTTTGGTAGAGTTAATATGGAAGGTAATTGCTGCATTATTAAGAACTCAACGTTCCATAGACATAAAAAAATACAGACAGACAAAAATAAAAGCATCAGGCTTGGGAGAGACTCGGGACACCGGTGATTTCACAAACCCGTAAGGTTCCGCACTTAACTCAGTGCTGGGTATACTTTTCATGATTAAAAGTAACTATGGCAAGGCAAGTTTATTTGGATAGCCCAATCCATACACAAGGGAACTCAAAGTGCTGAACAAAACGAGATAGACAGTCACACAAGGCATTAAAATCATAAATAATCACAGAACATTACAAACTGTGAAGATAAAATCCCTCAGTTGTATGCACAGCGAAATAGAACTGATTTAACCTGGATTTAAACATTGTCATAGAAGAAGCCTGTCTCCCAGAATGAGGAAGACTGTTCCAGATTTTAGCTGCAAACATCTGACATACTGCCTCCCCACGTTTAGTTCTGACTCTGGGCACCATCAGGAGGCTAGTCCTTGTGCACCTACCGTAAGAGTCCGAATTGGTTCATAAGGGACTAACATGTCACTAATATATTTTGGTGCGAGGCCATGGAGAGACTTGTACACAAGCAGAGCTGTTTTAAAGTCTACTCTCTGAGCCACAGGAAGCCAGTGCAGAGACCTGAGAACTGGACAGATGTGATCATGCTTCCTGGTTGTTGTCAGTACTCGACCATAAAGAATTGAATCGGTTTTTTTATTTCCAGCTGCAACATTTTCATATGCAAATCTCTAGCTATTTATAGAAAGAAAACAACTATTTCATCTATTATATACTGAATGCATAGATTTATAACATACAATTTAAGGAAATACTTTCTAACACAATAGACCCTCTGGTATATGATCCTCCTTCTGCAGTTTTACACTATTGCAATAGTGTAAAATAATTCATGTTTTGAACGCTCTGAGGAGTATTTTTAAATTAATATAAATCTTTAGTACTTAATCAAAGTGAACAACCAATTGCATATATAGATTGAGTGATGCTATTATATGTATTATATGTTTATAAATATGTGCTTTGCTGCTACTAAGCACAACTTTCCATGGTTATATATATGTTTGAGATGGGCGTACACGATCCTATCTGGAATACAGCCAAGTGTTTAACCCATAAGAAGCCTGTAATCACCAATAAAGTTCTTGTTAATTGTTCTTGTTCTGATATTATTGGAGCCAGTGAGTCCAATAAAGTGAGTCCATAAAGTCCAAAGTTGAGAATAACTGCAGATGTATAGGCAAGTGTTTGAATATGCAACACAGTAAACACGGTCTTTTTCAGAGAACAGTTGGCTCAGGGGATTGTGAAGTTTGCCAAATGCATGAATTTACCTCAGTGAAGTGTGCATTCAACAGTCTGTGCATCTGCGACAAAGGAGCGAATGTTTTTCATCCTGTCTGACTATAATAATCAGTTTTTGTTGTTGTTTATGGATTGTTTTTTTCCATACACAAAGTCACACATTTTCAATGGTAAAAGAATGTTTGACAGCAGTTGCCTTGGGCGTGACACCAGGCGGACAGCTGTAATTTTTTTCAACTTTTTCTAATGAAGGGCTGTCTCTCATTTTTTTCTTTTGCCTAAATACTCTTCTCCTCTACTCTACACAAATCTGCAAGGCCAGCAAGGTATGTTTCTTCTCTTAAATTTAAAATGTGAAAATCTACTAAAAAATTAAGTTAGATGTCTGTGTCTAAGTATCTGATCCAAAAAATAAGGTGAAACAATTCCTACTACCAAATTGCATTATCTACTGTGGCATGTCATATTTTAGGCGCTGTGCTTGCTTTATACATAACTTTGTACGGTGGAAAAATAAAAAGGTTGGTTTATACTTGAAATATCAGATCATACCAACCTTGCAATGTTGACATATTTCCTAAGGGTGTGTTTTAATACTAAGCCATTTTTCATTCCCGTTCCTAATAGTTTCACAGTAGTGTCTATTTTTTGTTAATTAATTCTTGCCTTGAGCGTTTTAAATAATTGTCAGTTTCATCATCACTAATAAATGCTAATCAAAGTGAGTCATTCCGATGCTTAACAGATTAATTATGTAATTCCATTCTATTATTCTAATAACAAATTCACAAAGACGTGTCATATATTTGAAATAAAGTTTGTCTCGGAGCATTGCGGAAGGACAGGCACCGGTATCTCTGGTCATTCCGAGCTAATCCAAAAATCATGAGCTTTGGCGGCATGGTGACAGTCTGATATCTGTTTTTTAATAAAATCCTCTATATGGCTGATGTATCGGCTTGGCCCTCAAGCGGAAACTGCGACTCCATCAAAGACATTATTGGAAATCAGTGCTCGGAGGTGCAGCGGCGGGAGATTCATTAGCCTTCCCGCTAAGCCTTAAAAATGACAAAGTAGCAAGATATAGCAGTATTGTCAGACTGAAGAGGGATCTTTCCCACCTTCTAGACGCTTCACAGTCATATGCTATCCATTATTTTCTCCTGGCAGTAATTACAGTATGTCCATATAAGCCTCGTACATAAATAGTATGCGAAAAAACGGTTTCCGCGGTTGAGGTCCCAGAGGTAAACCCTTACAAACGGCATTATTTAAAAGTAAGGGAGATTATAAAAGAGTTTTTTGTTGAGAAAACTGCTTAGTGGTGAGGAGGATAGGAGGACAGAAATTGTTGCAGTGGATGTATTCAAATTGGGATAGAATAATGGTCTGCATACAATCATAAAAGAGTTTAGTCTGTAATGAGGCTCACCTAAAAATCTGGTGCCAACAACAAAAGTTGTGAATGAGAAATTGTGTGTTTGATGTGATTGTAGTTCTTTGGAGAAATTGGAATACATTTATTACGGATATTGGGCATTGGCAAATTAAAGTGTTGAGTCCACAGAGTGACATGTTACATGGCTATATATAAACACCTCGGCCTTTGTAGTCCTATTTGATTGTGGCAATGCAAGTTAATGTGCAAAGCATGGTACAAATTGTATGCAAAAATCACAGGTTTGTTACCACTGCATATGGAGTGAAAAATGACATGTGAAACAAAAATCACTATTTAAAACCGGTACCTTATTATTACTTGTATCAATGTCACCATATGGACTTTCTGTTATTTTTTCAGCATAAACTATCTGTATACGTCCATCCATCCATTTTCTTCCCCTTAATCCATTTCTGGGTCGGGGGGGTGGCAGTCAGACCTGCACCCAGTACACAGAGCACCAGCCCCTCACTGATCCTCCTGCAGGTGGTGAGTCCACAGGAGCTGAGAACTTTCAGCAGGGGCTTCAGGCAAAGTGGGGTGCCCAAGGACACAACGACAGCAGTCATCAGTGGGAGTCGTGAAGTAGTAGTCTCTGTATTTGTTTTCATTGCAAATCCTGTTAAACAAAATGAGTAGGATTTTTGACCTCTGCAACCTTGATCTGAACTTTCACTTTGAAGCTCTGTTAAGATGTAATACAAACTTGACATTTTGCGAGTGAACATATAATCCAAACTGATATTTTGTATTACTCCCTAAATGCACATTAATGAGTGTCTGCTGCTATTTGTCTAGGAGCAATCCCCCAATGCTTCCCTATGGAAATCGTGTTAACCTAACCGCATTAGCTCAGCGCGTGTCTAAGTCAGCCCCTACTGTCTTTACTGCCCCACACCCCTTTGACGGATTAATGCCCCCAGAAAGAGATAATGCACAGGAAGCCGACTGATTTCAACGCTTCTTGACCACAGCTCCGCCATTAACCCCACCCCCAGCCGCTCCAGGAGTCTATAACCAGAAGACCCAAGCCGGGCTCGTTACCTCAAATCACCCCGATCAACTGGAAATCGAAGAGCATTGATCGCCATTAGGGGGTGGCGGTGGTTGCGCTGATTGACCGGATGGCAAGGTTACGGTAACTACGTGGACGAGTATAGCTTTCCCCAGCCATGGCTAATGAGAAGAGGTGAGTGACGGGTGCAGGCAGCAGCAGAGGCGCTCACCACAAATGGAGAGGAGTAGAACGAGAGTGGTTTGCGATCGGTCCGAAGAGTGTTTGAAAGTGCAGGCTGAAATTGCAAAAGTCATATGGGTGTCTGACAACAACAACAAAAATGTGCCGTTAGAAAAATATATATTTGAAATGCTTACAATTTGCCTTTTACGAAGTTGTTTTTTGAAAAGCCAAAAAGTCTATTTTAGTCCTATAAAAATAAATATAATAATTTTTCCTATTTTAACCATTCTTCAATTGTGGGAGATTTTAGGTTTGACTGCATTTTAAGAGAGACGTTATAAGAATACTGTGCAAACACTCAAAGTTTGTATTGAATGAGGGAACAATGTTTTTTTTAATATCTGGAACTGTCAGCACAAATTCACCCCCTCCACAGGAAGCTTTGTGCTGTTTTTTTATGGATAAAATCTCAATTATGCTTAAACAGAATTATTATTTGAGCATGGTTATTATATCATGAAAGGATAGATATTGTGAAAGACAAAAAAATATCCCCGGAGACGAGCACATGGCATATTATAATTCTTTGTTTTAAAATTTGCCAACCGCCAACTCGCATCCATTCTTGATCTCACCTTTTCACTATAGTGTATAAGCCTCACCATAACTTCTCAGGAGCAATTAGGAAACACTTGAAGAAAATCCCGACTCGTCTACATTCGCCGCCACTCCAAAAAAACAACTTTGTGCCTACATTTTAATTACTCCCCCAAAGTATTTCCCGTAAACAAAATCGCACACTCCTTCTAATGAGCAGGAGTGCATGATTGATGCTGCACAGCTCAGTGAAATTGGAAAACAGATCTGACTGGCCTGGCCCAATGGAGTTACATTTCAGAGTGGCTGTCTTGGGTGGAAGCTCGCCAAACAGTGACATCTGTAAACATCGGAGGTCTGGCTTGCGTTGCAACAGAGCATGCAACCACTTAAAATCCCCAAAATCCAAAACTATATAAAAGCTAAGAAACAGGATTGTTACTTATGTGACGTGAGGGTGTAGGGAAAGGAAGTTTTACCAATTCCAGCAACGCCAGGTGGTCTAGGGACCAACCAAATAATTTGTAAAATAAGGCCGCAAAAGTTATGGACATAGGAGACGCGATACTATACTTACAAAACAGGTTCACAAGTTTATTTTCATTATAATTTAAATACAACACATAGGCCTATAAGGGAAAAATGGTTAAAAGTTATTTTAAAAATGGTGGCAAATCACGAGCTTAGGTCCTGGATCATGAGCCCGTCCGTCCATGTCGGAGCGGATCTCTTTCTCAAATGTGGGTCTTTCCGAGGTTTCTCACTTTTTTCCCACTGGGTTTTTGTGAGTTTTTCCTTGCCGATGCAGGAGGGTCTGTTGGGAAGTTAGTGTCCAACTAGAAGGACTGTGGTAATGATCCAGGACACTTTAACAGTCTACAACATGTATGGACATTTATCAACATTCGTGGACATTGGTCTCTCCCTATGGACCAATTCATATGTTTATATTTTGTGTCTTAACAGTTGATTCTCAGATCTGTGTTGGTGATTTCAATGGTTTTGTTAAGTCCTCTGAGATGACTGCTGTCATGATTTAGGGCTATACAAGGATAAGTTGTTGTTGTTGACACAAGACAAAAAAGAAACGTGGAGTAGAGCCTGAAGACAAGGCACGAATCTTAACACTGTAATTAATCACTTATAGTTTTGGAGCTTACCTGCCAGTGAAAAGCACGCACTCACGGCCAGCGGGAGGAGGGGGAGAGCTGGTACAGATGCCCGACTTGTCCCAGCTGCAGCTAGGGGTCTGGGGCAAACAGTTTTACGCTCAGTTTTGGCTTTGAGAGCCAAGAATGAAAGGCTGGACAATGAACGACTTACCTCAATTGCGGAGAACCCAAACTCACGGCAAAAGCCGAAGCGTTGCTCCCACGCACTCCAGCGGGCTCCAACCCAAGCAGGCTGCCGGTCACCAAACATGCAACCACCGCACCCAGGCCAAGACTCGTGTGCGCACCTGCTTTTAACGGGCTCTACAACCCCAAGCCAATCACCTTTCAGTGCAGTGCACACCAACATGCCACACTTACATGTTATATTTTTGACCTCTCCAATCTCTCAGTCATTTGGTCATCTGCTCGCCGGTCAGCAGCCTGGGTCGTGGTAGTGAATTGAAGATAAGATTAGCGTACTTTATTTGTCCCACAGTGAAGAAATTTCAATGCACTGGTGAATTCTAGAATTTTCCACATTGTTTTTTTGTCGTAATGTTATGGCTGCTGTGGAGTGTTGCACATAAACCGGCAAAATCTTGGATCAAAATGGTCCAGTGAGATATGAGCAATGATTTAAAGTCAAATCAGTTAAAAAAGTTAAAAATGTGTTTTTCTAAACATTCTATACTGGCATAGCAGAATGGGTACACAAGACAGATTCATGTAAGGTGATTTTTACCTTTTACTTTTAAGGTTAATATTTTTGATTCTTGAATTACAGTTTCTCTAATAATGCAATTGGATGGGCAAACTTTGACTCTTTGATCATGTTGTGGAAAAATAGGTTTTTGATATCTGATTAAAGCGCTGATTGATAAGTCTGTGTTTTATACTTGAGAATATACTCAAATCGGTCAAGTCATATTCATCTGTCTGTCTTTGTGTGTGTGTGCGTGAGTGTGTGGTGTTGCTATCAGACTGAACAGAGCTTCTTTTGTGCATTCAGATATCCCTGAGTCTTTCATCTCTGGCTGCACTGGCTTAGTTCTCCCAATTCTAGCGTGAATGGCTGAGAATTCTAACAGTCTTTCATTTACATTGTTTTAGGATTTAAAAAAAAAATACAAATGTTTCACCTCAAATTATTTTAGTTTTCATAACAATATTGTGCATTAAAGAAACATAGTGACACTTACAGACATACTTAATACATTTGAATTCTGTTAAAAAGTTATTTATAGTAATATTTATTTTTTGTGAAAATAATACAGGAAGTACATACTAAAAAACATTTGCAAACAAGAATTTCTCTTGAGAAATAGTCGACAATGTGTTTGTTTAGGCAACTCTCCAAAGTCTCAGTAAGTAAGTAGTAGTAGTAGTAATCTTTATTTATATACCGCCTTTTCACTGCACATCGGAGTCTCAAAGCGGTTTACAATTGTTATTTTTTTTTTGGAGTGGGTGTGCCAGTACAGGAGGCACATGCCAGACCTATTGTACATATTTTTAGTGGTAGGGGAAACCGGAGCACCCGGAGGAAACCTACGCAGACACGGGGAGAACATGCAAACTCCACTCAGAAAGGCCCTGGTCCAACCGGGATTTGAACCCAGGACCTTCTTGCTGAGAGGCGAGAGTGCTAACCACTCAGCCACCGTGCCGCCCACAAAATCAGTCTGATTTACTATTCTGCAAGTATGTCCTACAACATATCTCTGCCTCCTGTATGAATATGGTCATACCTCATGTGGTCCTTGGACAAGCTGTTTCTCCAAATCCAACAGAATTACTCAATAATGAATGTTATGTTTATAAAGCAATAATGCGGATGGTAGATTTGCATTCAAAGGACTATCTCTCAAAGTGTGCTGCAAAGACTCCTGGGACAATATCGTGCGGTTGTTATGTATATTGTCTTATTCTCCAGCAGTGTAAATCAGTTGGCAGACCGTAGCATTTCTCATTATAGAGATGGTGAATCTGGCAATGCACTTTGGAGGAGGCGTGTCATCAAAGTAAAATAACAGAAATGCAATGTACAAATGCAATGGCAAATGGGATTAATCGTGATGGGATACCTCAAGGGTTGGATGTTGAATGCATTTACAGAGATCAATTTACATTATTATATTACTGCTTTTTATATTATTACATTACTGCTTTTTCTTAGATGAAAAACTTTTAGACAAATTCGGTTTTACCAGGACTATTTTAGGATGTTCTGGCACGATTCATTTGTGTTTAATAATACAAATAGGGTCTAAGAAAAATATATCAATTGAGGCAGCCTTAGCAAATCGTCAAATTCACTGGCGGATGGTACCAGTCTGATCTCTGGAGACATTGGAACCAGTCTGATCTCTGGAGACATTGGAACCAGTCTGATCTCTGGAGACATTGGAACCAGTCTGATCTGTGGAGACATTGGAACCAGTCTGATCTGTGGAGACATTGGAACCAGTCTGATCTGTGGACACATTGGAACCAGTCTGATCTGTGGACACATTGGTACCAGTTTGATTGTGGAGATATACAGCTGTTTCCTCTGATTGTTCTGATTATATGTGTGGATTTGTGTCATGTATTTGTCATATTCTAGACCATGAGTCTGTGATAGAGTTGGATGCTTATAGAATGTCGTTACACATTTTGGCTTTGCAAGAATATGAGAGCAACCACCAATCTGAATCCAATTTATTTAAAGATCACATTTTATATGCAAATCCACTTTAAAAATGTGTGTGTAATGCTCCCAACTAGATTTTGTAGTTTATAATGTTTCAGGATTATTGATTTACTAATAGAAATAAAAGTGGCCAAACAAGAACAAAACATGTAGGTCTAGTAGACATGTTTATATTTTTCATTGAGGAATAGGCGCTTGGGCAGAGCAGACAAAAAACACTTGAATTAAGCTAATGGATAGCCGTGTAATGGCCTTCCCTGTCCTTAGACCCTGGGAGCGACTACTTCTACTTTTCAAAAACACCTACCAAAGCACAAACATCAACATAAAACCCCAATATATAATTTATGTTCACTCCGGCCGGGGCTTTAGTATTCATGCTTTCCACTCCAGCGGCATGTTGTCTGCGTGCACACCACCCTGCCACGGCAATGCCAATTACAAGCACTGTGCCGGGCTGGCCTAATATAAATGTAAATCAGCCTTTTAACTCGTACACAAGAACTCCTGGACACGACTGGGGGTTCAGAGGTGCTGATAAAGAGAAAGGAGGGAGACACCACAGGTCGCCTCACCTCCCAGATAATGATGCGCTTCCCTGGGCTCACCAAACGAGACCAAAGCTTTGTTTGGTGAATACGCCAGAGAGCGGTTCTTTTGCTTGTTTGGTGAATACAGTAAAGACCGGTTCTTTTGCCGTTGCTTGTTCTTTTGCCGTTGCTTGTTTTTCGGGCTTCTGTTGTTCAACCGACACACAAGGCGCTGGTTGGGTGTTGATTGAGGGTGGAAATGTAAATGTGGATACATCTTGGGCTATTAAAAAAAGAAAACATATCAACACAAGATGTTCTCAGATTTCACTTGGTGTTTTATCTCAATCTGTTTCTCCCCTTTTTGCAGAACAAATACATATTTGATGGAATCCTTTATTTATATACTGTATATAATAATTGCCAATTTTTAGTTTTTGGCTGTGGAGTTTGAATGAATGTTTTCTAGGCTTGAAGGAGATTTTTGTTTGGCTTTACCAGTTAGTAAAAGAAACATTATATATATTTTTATTATTTTACTGTTATTGAAATGTCATTGTGCACAGGCTTAGGGATTTGAAGACATGACAAATCACCCAATGATGCTTCAATGTCAAAGTCATGAGAATGACCTCGGAAACAAAAGTATGAGGGGTGTAACAACATACAACACTTATTTTCAATAAGTGCGGTGAAAAGTAAATTTAATTCTCAAACAGGGTAATAATTAAAGAAAGAAATCTGTGTTCTAAACAACTTATTAATTTTGATTAAAAAAGGTTCATTTTATTATCATTTTATTCATTTAGTTATGTTGAATTGATTTTTTTTGTGGTTTGAAAGAACCACAAAACTAATCGATAGTTGAGAGTTGAATGATTGCCCAAAAAGTATTGAATCGAATTGTGCAAAGCCAGGATAGAGTTGGAGAGAATATGTTGTGAATGGCTTTGTATGTATTTACAATATATATCTCTACATTAACAACCCCAGTTAAATATGTGAACATTAATGTTCAAATACCAAATACCGTTCAATGAGGACATCATTCAGCCAGTCCAGTTGTCTCATAAAGTATCTCAGCACGAGTGGCAACCTCATCAAAACTTCTGCCTACCTACGCAAATTCAAGCCACTTCAATCCTACAACCGAGCCCACAGTAACTGCCACTGCAAACACTTGAGCAGTGTGGAAATGCTGCCGTCGCCACTGCGCAGCGCTTCTGTGATCCTTCACCCTCCGTGGACTATCCCCGTCTGGGCGCGCTCTGTTTAATCTTGTGCCTCATTATTTCTCTGTGCGATAAACTGCAGGTGTAGCAAGGGTCTGCAATACCCATGCCATCTCTGTTTAATGGCTTCCTCAAATGATGTCCAGAAGGAATACAGATTTTTACATTGTCTGAATAAAGTAAACCATATGGTTATAGTTTGAACATACTGTAGGTATGAGATTTGTTGTCCTACTTGTTTCTAACTGGTGTGTGCAGGGCTGCAGTGGCTCAAATTAGTTGTGATTTTATAAAACTAATGGTATTATTTCTATAATGTATTCTATTCATGCATTTGGACTGAAAGAAAATACCATAAGATCTATTTTTGTGAAAACAGACACAGAAGGGATGGATATACTGCTAAGGTTGGAGGACTACTGTGCTAATTGTGCGCCAAACTCCATTTTTGGAACTTTGAGTGTGTCTCAAAGCCAATCAATTTCTAACACATACAAACTGGGTTCTATGTTTTTAAAGCATCATTCAATGTTATGTGAATCTAATTAGTAATGTGTTGAGTGAACATGTCTTTGAATTCAGCATTCCATTTCCAAGATTTACCGACAAAACATGTATTATATGGCATATTTGTCTCTAACCTGACCAATCAGAGTCCTTTGTTTGAATTATACTTTTAGTGCCCTCGGGATTCAGAAAATGCTTGTTCTTACACGACCTTTGTTCTGACGGTGCTCGCCTGTGAGCTATTCCACTCTATAATTTTCATCAGAGATCTGTAGATTACTACTGCAACGGCAGATCATCAGTAGGG